TCGATGATCTTAGAGATCTTTTCCAACCTTAATGATTCTATGATTCTATGATTCAATCAGCTGTTACTAGCACTGGTTAAGGCTTATACTATCAATTCTCCACTAGTACCCTAAGGTTCGATTCCATTGCAATTACAGTTAATGAAAAGATCCCTTCACTTCAGAAGGATCTGGATCACAGCCTTAAAGAGAAAAAAAAGCATTATACTCAGCAGTGGCAGTAAGGCTTTAGTTTGAGTGTCTGTGGCTGCAAGTGAGACAAGTTGTTGGAGAATTTTTTTTTATTGCATTACCAGTTAGCTTAATAAAAGATATTGCCTCTTCCAGCAAGGCCTTTTCCCCTTAGCAAGGTTTGGATAACTACTTTTATCTTGGTTCTTCAGCATGGTCACTATTCAGAGCACTGGAAGATGAAATATGTCTATACATTGCAGACTTTTATAACAGTATATTACACTGTGATGACATGTGAGCCAATAATACATAGTTTTAGAATATCATGCTTTGAAACAACACAATTCTTTATTACAAAATAACAACACAATATTGGAAATACTATTTTCACAGAAATGCATGTGCTCTACCAGTATGATATTCTGGAATATGTTCTATTTTGAAGAGATTACTTTTTAAGAGCTTTTATTTAGCACCACTTTGAAACTCTGATTCTGTACTAACAGACTGTTGCTTCATTCAGTATTTACTAGATCTCCAAAGTCGTCTTTTACGCATTCTTCAGTTTTTTCCATAAATGAAAATCTGCCACTAATCATGATGAGATGCCCGCCCTGAATCATTCACGTAAGTTAATTCCAAGAACAATTTATTGTGCTGGTTCTAATGTAGTCTTACATAGCCTTGGTATGGAAATCCTGTATTAATAGCCTGACTGATTTACAGAAAAAGCTCACAAAATTAACATCCAATAGATAGAAAAGGAAATCTTATCTTCTGTATCAAGATTAGCATCCATTAGCACCAAGAGACTAAGACAGAAGAATATTTACAGAGCTATTCTGTATTCCACGCACGTACACAAAAAATCATAAACCAAGGACACCAGTGGAGATGAAACACTACATGGGAAATCATCCCCCCTTCCTTGAGGGGGAAACACGTAGTCAACACATGAAAACTGTTGCCCATGTTCTGTGTAAACATGCCCAGTTTGCTTCTCGTCTTTCTGTGCTTTGCAAGATTACAATTGGAATACAAAGACTCACTTATCAGGTTTTAATTTAATTCAGTTACTTAATCAGCAAGAATATAAATCGCTCCTTAGGTGGAGAATACTTTGGGGGAAGGGAATACAGCAAGGAGTCACGTTTATTTTGTTGGTTTTCTTCATAACCATTCTCTCTTCTCTTGTCACATCTCTACCTTAGAAGTTTCTACGTATCAAGGAAACCCAAATTTTCTTTTTACAGTTTAATCTAATCTTTGAAGTAGCTGTAGGCTTAACACTGAGGAATAATTACAAAAGAAACATTATACTTTTTATGAAATATTAAACTTACAATTTATCTTTTAATATCTACTTCAAAGACTATTTGACAGGAATAAATAAGTGAGAGCTTGTTGGCAAGAAAAGCTGTGATTTATGAAATATTTTATTCATTCCTATTCTTAAGTATTTTCTTGAGAATAACACTAACATCTGGAGCTATGCAGTCTTATCCAAACATTCTGCTCATACTCAATTAGAAAATTATATCAATAATAATGTAAAATAAATTACCTAGCTTCTCTTCCTGGAGCATAGATTTCAATGTTCGTCAGAGCAACTATGTGTACAAACAGCACTGTAGTGTTTTTCATTAAGCCTTAAAGTCAATTAAGCTACGAATTGGAACAATCATTCCTCCTTTGCAAAGTATTGATATTTTTTCTTGGCTGCTTTCAGGCCTTTTCACTACTCAAGGGGAGATTTATGTTTGACAATTTCTTTCTGATTAAAATGAATCATAACTCTAGAATTCTAATTTCCTCTTTTCCGAGCAAGAAATTATCAAACAGTTTTAAACTGATATTGAATGTCATCGTGCGTGAACAACATTCATTTTCAAGATATCAAATGTAAAGCTATACTGATCTCTCTTTTTATCTGCTGCTTTTACATACTTTCTCTTCCTTTCTCTCTCTATATACACATGTATATATATAAAACATTATATTGTACCAATATAATCAACTATACCTCTCTATAAAAATTATATCTGACAGACTAGCTAGGCCAGTCACATTAAAACTTGTCACAACGCTTTACATAAGGCAATTACCCTCTATTTGCAATATTAGCAAAATTCTGTTGTAGTTTAGAAAGAAAATAACTGGAATACTGCAGGTTGCAAACAAATGTCAGTTATCTAAAGTAATTAGCAAGTTTGTATGGGTAATCCCTACTCAAATGGCTCAAACTCTATAAAACAGCTCTTTAGACATAAATTGTTAAAAACAGTTTTCTAGATTTGTCTCCAACAGCCAATTAAGTTCAGTTTTTATCTTATGTTTGTTTTTTAAACATAATGGCAGCTAATCTGAAAAATCTTATTTTCTCCCATTATTCCTCCTGTTTTCTCTAAATCTTAACAATTTGATTTTTTCAAGCCATTTAGCTGTCCCATTTTCTCTTTACAAACTTGATTTTCAGCTTTCACTAAAAGCAGATTGAAACTGGTTTTTTTGCCTAACAACTTATTTAAAAGTACAACAGGCCCAAAGAAGAGCTGTCTTTCTGCAGATGCTCAGTTTATGGCATTCCAGACAAGGATGCCACAAATAGGCTCACTAAGGAAAACCATCCAGCTTGTTCCCTAAGTACTGTTACATATGCTGTACTTTATTTTTAAACGCTGCATTACAGTAGGTTTGATTTGGGGGGGTTTTTTTGTTTTGTTGTGGTTTGGTGGTGGTGGTTGGTTTTGGTTTTTTTGGTTTGTTTTTTTTTTTTTAAGAATTACATTTTTTCCATATATATTTCAGGCTTTAGTTAATACAGACCATCAATTAGACAATTGTATCAAAACTTGAAATACGAACCGTTGTTTCTTTATACATTTTTAATTATTTTGTCTTTTTGCAAATAAGCAGAATTCCCCTTTGCATCAGACAAAAAGAATGAAAAAGGAAATATTCTTTGTCTGACATTTAAACCTTGAGTACTAAAGCATACTGTCCTACAGAAAAGCCAGCATAGGATACACATTGCTTTTGGTAATATACATGTTATTATAGAAATACCAATTTTATTACCAACACGGTACACTTATGAAATGTAAACACATTAGAGTTCAATATGGCAAAGATTTTTTAATTATAAAAGTATAGTTCGTGCAAATTAGAAGAAAATGGGGTTTAGACATTCAGTTGAAGAGTAGGAACATATTTACCAAATTTCCACCCCTCAAAATACTAGAGGAAGACAGTATTTATCATGCAGCTCAGAGACTTAATCTCAAAAATTTGCAAGAAACCATAAAACAAGTAGGTAGCACTACTGTTGCCAAAAATACTATCTGAGTAACATGAACACGAGGCTTTGTAAGGCTGCATCCTAAACAGCTGTATTTTTTTAAAAAATTGATTCCAAATTGAAAAGTAAACCAATTTCCTTTCAATAACTTTGCTTTCCCTAGGAACAAGGGAGACAAAATACTGTGGATGCTGCTTTGAAGTTCTTTATAGCAGGATAGTTGCAGCTACATATTGAGAGTTCATCTGAACCATATGCACAGGTTGTTGACATTTTTCTTAAATGCTTTCATTTTAGGAAAGAATTTTCCATGAACAACTTCCTGCTCTGTAGTTACACCTATAAGCTAGAAATTAATATTTTACATCAATATTGTAATACTAGTATCAATCAATCAAATTAATCTGTCTCTTTGTTTTCAGTAACTGACTTTGGGGCAGGTTTTTGTGTTTGTTTTCCTCAAGATTGCTTACAATTTGATGTAAATTTTAAGCATCTTGTAATTCATCAACTAATTCTCTCCTGGTTACACACTCCAAGTAATTAAAGTTCAGTAATAACTTATTCTTTCTGCTCCAGCACCTGCATTTCATTTGTTTATTTTCCCAGAGTCATAAATCTGAGGGACTGTCAAAGTGCCATAATATTAGTGCAATAATCAAAGTTAATTAGTCCCTCTCAATAAGCAACAACAAAGCCATTACAAAGATGCATTGAAGGTTTTCCAGCTACCCAGTTTACAGATGAGATTCTTTTCTGAACAATTAGAATTTGAAAACTGTTAGTAAATAAATGTAGTGTTTCTGAAGTAATTTGACCATCAGTGATTTTCATTCAATTAACAATTCATTAACTTTTGGTGAGATAATATCGGTATTAAGACAAGTACTCCTGAACTCCCATTGCCTTCAAAGTGCTCAGAGATATGCTTAGAATGAAGGGGGTAATGGGATATTTTTAAAATAAAAGGTACTCAGTACTGCCTTACTTTAGTTACATAAAAAAACATACATAGTGAGTCATATTTAGCTGGACTGGAACTACTAAATTCAAAAGACAGAATATCACCAAATTCAGTTCCATTGAAAGAGAATGGACAGATGAACTTTAAGCAACACACGCTATGATTGCCCCTGTTGGAATTCTCTCGGAATTCCACGCTATTGAAATAAAAAACAAAAAGAGAGCTTTAATGTGAAGTATTGAAGGGGAAAGGAAGATATTTTTCCCTCCCAATCCTTTACTGTAAATCATTAATATCATCTGGGCAAGAGAAAACGGTCTAAATCCAAAGACTGTTTCTTGAAGAAACCTGTGGTTACAAAAATTAGCAATATTATAAGCACCACTTCTTTGGAAGTACTTACTTGTAAATAAGCACTGTTTCACACTAATAAATATTATAATTATCTGTAGACTACTTATGTGTAAATATTAATACTACTGAGTCCTCTCCCATATCATCTGGGAGCAGCTGAAATATTTTCAGAGCTTGGGAAATAAAGCTAAAACACTCATCACTAATCTTAGCAGGAAAGAAATAAAATTCCAAGAATCTAATCCTGAGGTTTGTTAATCAAGTAAAGTGTATAGGACTGTGTCAACAGATTATCTCCTGGAAGTCAGCAGTCATAGCAAGCTCAGACAAAAGTAGCCTGCAATCCTTACTAGTAAGTAAATGGTTGTGGGAGGAATAAATTAAGAACACTGAGTAAATTTTAATAAGGGCCTTAGAAGATTCCAAAAAAAAAAAAAAGGGGGGGGGGGGGGGAAGAGAGGAGGAAGTTAGGAGCCAAAGAGAAACAAGGGAATAGACAGTGCTGAAGAGATTGTATTTGCATGACAAAATGGAAGAAAAGTGAAAGAAAGAGGGAAGAAACGGGAAAGAAAAAAAACGTTGAGACAGACTGCCTGGCAGCAGCACTGTTGGGCCTGATGGACTAGGAAAGAAAAGGAGGGAAACATTCTTGGTTTTGAAAAGTCTAAGAATGATCCTCCAAAATCTCTCAGAAGATAAAAACTATGGGCAAAATAATGGCTGTCTCTAATATCTGAGTGTGTACATTCTCCTTCAGTTAGTTACACACTGTGGTTCTGGCAATGTCCTGTCCTATGAACTACGAAACATACCTCAGTGGTTCTTTCAAACATTTTTGCCCTTACAAAGCATCTGTATGTAACACGGATAACAGCATACCAAGCCTTGCAGTCCAATACGGTCATATGAAATGCAGAGTTTCTATCACTGATATTTTGTAATATCCTGTTCAGTCACTCGTATAAGACAAATGCCTTCTTCCTTAGATTCTTGCATGGCAATGTAATATCTATTTAACTGCTTGTACTACACAAAAGACTTCATGTCTTGAAAAATATAGCTTAGTGTTGAACGCTATATACATTCACTTACCCATTCCACAAGAATGCGTTGTACAGCGTCATTGCCTCTTGACATATTTCTGCAGGCCAGAATAACATATGCCCCATGCAGTGCAAGAGACTTGGCAGTTTCAAAACCTATGATAAAACATTTTCCTGGTCAGAAATAGATCTCAGTAACAAAACAGAGCTATAAAATTACCTGAAAAGGTGAGCCACACATTTAAGTACACTAACACTACCTTCAGTCTGACTATCTGTTTGATAATCACCTGGACCCAGCTTTTAAGAGCACATATGAAAAAAGGTAGACACCTCAATTTGAGCAGGTCTTTGGGACAATATATTTTGTGCAAAATAGGTTTGGGATCTTCAGAAAAAGGCTCAATTTCTCTGCCTCGATGCCTTCAGCTGTTAGAAGAGCAGGATTATACTTACTCCTTACTTGTTTGACTGTGAAGAATGAGCCATAAGGCAAGATTGCAGAACTATTATGCCTGGCAACATCACACTGAAAGTGATAGAGTATTCTGAAACTAAGCTCTGGGCTCTTTAGATGCACAGTTAGCCTTTGATTCATCAATCTGAGGACCACCTGTGGCAGGGGGGATCATCCAGTGGGATGTGTGAGGGGATAAGAATCAAAATCACGTGGAGATAACTACTCCTTTTTCTGATCCGAACACCACTGCATCTGTAGAACACTGCTGCACAAAACCAGGGACCAGAGAACTATCCAAGTGTTAAACCATTGCTGGGAGGGGGTTGCCAAGCTCATTCTCAGAAAATGAGATTCTACCTAAGGAGATCTGTAATCTGCATGTATGTTTTATTATCCACACACTTTAAAATCTTTGCTAAAATTTTCCTTAAATTATCTGTGTAAAATCAACTCATTTTTTGTCCCATCATCAACTGATATATGGAGAACAATTTTTCATGACTGTCTCATTATGAATAACCAACCAAATACCATGCAGCTTCAATATACTGGTTATAGTATCATGGTGCTAAACTGGTCACTGGATGTACCAGCTGACACAGAAAAAAAAAATCCACGAAAAATTCCCTCTTTTGCCTAGCTCACTGATATGACTTAATCTGCAAGCACATTCTTTCTAAATCTGGAACAAGTGAACAGACAGGTCAAACTTTGCTGCAGTTAAAGTGCAACATGAATCTATATCCCCAGGGTTTTCTTCTTTCATCCATAGAACAAAGTTTCACAGTAAATTTCTAAACAACTGTACACAACCTTTTTTTGCAATACTGTTAATCACTTCTTCCCCATTCTGAATTTGGGCCCTTCATTTCTCCTTTCTAAAAAGAGACTTCAGATTTCAGATTAATTTCAGTTTGTTAATTTGGGACTATACTGCAGTTTAGTGAGATCAGTTCGAATTATGAAACTGTCCACCAAGAGCTGCAACTCCTTCCACCTTGACATCATCTGCAAGCTTTTTAAGCGTACTCTGTTTCACTGTTCAACTCATTAATGAAAAGCTGCATAGAAGTTGGTCCAAGGTAAACGTCATTTAATTGGAAAAAATCTGTGACAATTTACACCAGGAGATCATGAGTTCTTGGGAATGCAGAATGCCCATGAAGTGCAGAGAACTGAGCCAGAAACTGGGTTTCTATCAGGGGTGAGCTACTACATATTTGCAATGTATTCAATAGTATCACTGGGTGCCCATCTCCATGGAGAACTATAACAATGACAGAAATTTCCATCTAGCTGAAAGAGGCATAACGTAGCTTAATGAGCTCAAATTAGACAAGCTTAAAACTAGAAAGTGAAGAATCAAACTGAAACGCCCAGCAATTTGAGTATGTGAAGAAGTCAAAGAGAAGAGGTATTTGTTTTAGCTTTATGACACTTAAAGCATGTTCACGTTTTCCTTTCAAAAATCGTTTACCAAAAAACCTATTAATATGGGCTGTCTCACTTCCAAAACACCCTGGAGCAACAAAATTCAGTTACAGCACAAGACATAACTTACATTATAGAAACAACAGACATCAAGATGAATTTACACCATTTTCTGCAATTACATACTTACGGTATTTAAGTCCAAGCAATTTTCTTGTATCTCTTTTAAAGCCATTCATTGTACCAAGCAACTTTAATTACCTGGGTAATTCATTGCATGCACATGAATTCAGCTACAGCATATACAAAGATTTCCCCTGTTCCTAATTCCACTTTAAGCGTATGTAACTAGAATTTTTCATGTAACTAATGTAAGACATGATGTACCAGAGTACTATTAGCTAACTGTATGCTTCTTGTTTTGCACAAAAAAATACACTTATTTTGACCAGCTTACCATAATATTAAAAACTAGTTGGAATGCCTGGGAATACAGTTTTTCTACTGTTATATAAAGATCTAGAGCTGATGGCCAGTTTAATTAGCTAAGTGTAATGATGTTTTGCTAACTCTACCCCATGTCACACTGTGCAAAATAATAAATTCCATGCCATTCTCTGTTACAGGTAATAACTTGATTCTCATTATAAACTAAACTGAGAAAGATTAAAATTTAACCAAGTTACATGCTGCAAATTTAGTTAATTTTAATACCACCTTGATTTTTCCCTGCAAACTTGGAGATGAGTGTTAAACACTCCTCTTGGACGTACTCGCTCTCTTCTGGGCTACCAAAGGTTGATTCTTCACCCTTATGCAGACATGTTCTGAATCTTTCCATGAAATTATGTGCTTAAAAAAAACTCTTTTCAGAGGATTTTTAAGCAGCAGTCCATCCTTCCATTCAAAATACTGCCACAGGTCAAGTGCCCCATCAGACATATTTTAAACTACTAACTCATTCATGAACATTCTTGCACTGTATTTAGGACAGCTAGATTTATGCAAAAGGAGAAAAACAAATCCAGGTACCCCAAACCACATAAAGGTTCCAATTCAACTACTGAATTACTGGTTATAAGGTAGGGATTGTATATAACTATTACTACTTGGTCTTTCTATCACTTTGTGTGGAGCATAATTCATAAGGCATCTTTTCAGACCACCTATCAAATGAAATACATCAAGAAGAAGAGGTAACAGTGTCTACTTCATAGAGCTCACTGGGCTTTAAGTATGATCTACCTACCAACTTGCTCACTCTCAAGACTGCAGCATTTTTAGATATGTCCTTAAAATAAATCTTCATAGACCTGAAAATCCTCATTAAGCAGCACAATTAAGTACCTTTACAGTTTAAGAAACAACTATACAGGAGCTTAGAAGAATGCAATTTCTAACTGAAACACCTGAAGCAGGAGTTTGGAAGCACCTCAGTATTCAAGTCCTTTTACGGCTTTAGCTTTTTGTTGCTCCTCCAAAAATTAAGGCTTCTTTCCTCCCCCAGTGTCACATAGCTTAAACAGGTGGGGAAAAGCTTCTAGCATAGTGGAAAGCTTACTCTTTTAACAGACTCATTGTGTTAAACTAAGTTTGCCAACAACATTTTGTCTTTCAGCAAAATGTAGCCATGTCTTCAATATACAGTAAATTTTAAAACCTCAGCCTAACACAGGGATTGAATATTTAAAGTACAAAACTATTTAAACTCCGTAAAGAAAAACCTTGCCCATTTATAAAAACTACATTGACTCAAAATCCACATTAAATGTGGTTTCATACACCAAAGTTAAGCCACAAACATCATAAATTCCCAAACAACAGTAAAACCTCAACAACAAAAAAATCATAGTAGAGTTAAATAGAAAAAGAAATCTAAACAACTATGTTAAGGACATGCATAATTAAGGAACCAGAACCACCTTAATTCCACCCACAAAAGCAACTCTGTGGACTTCAAAAGAACCAAACATTTCTTTAAAACTTCACTTAATCTGAGACTGCAGCTACCAAGGTACTCTCTTACAGTGACACAGCCCTTTCACAATGTAGGAACGTTAACAGCAATAATACTAGTATCTTTTCCAGGAAACAAGTCATATCCTCCAGTGGTGAATCTTCCCTGTACCGTAGTGCTGGGGTGTTGCAGCTGCAGAGCTATTTAACCCAGGTAAAACAGATAGCACAGCCTACTGCCGACAAGAACTATTGCCATTTACGTTCTACCTAGCTGCAACGGCTGGCAAAGGGTATACCTGGCTGAAGGAAACTGTGCCCAGCCTCAATGTATTACTGTTCTGTGCTTCAGTTTTCAGATTTCAAAGTAGGCAGCTCAAAAAAAGCTGCAAAACTTGAGTATCTTCTCATAGAAAAAGCACACATTATATACTAGTGTTTTTTTTTAAAGTAGGAACAAGCACATTAGAAAAACAGCATAGGATAATACACCTGAGCATCAAGGACAGCCAATTACAAAGAATAAGATAGATACTTCCCCCAAATGTGACAGAAGAACATGCTTAAATAATGTACACTTTGGAAATGCAATCATAGTATATTTAAATACTCTATACAATACAATGTTGAGCTAATATTTTATAAAACTATTTTGGAAACGCAATCATAGTATATTTAAATACTCTATACAATATGATGTTGAGCAAATATTTTATAAAACTAAGATAAATTTCAAGTGATTGCCCTGGAAATCTCAAGAGACAAGACTGTCCTGAGACCAACTACTCTTGCTGCTGTTGCTCTAATCTGACACTCAAAAGTTCTTATCCTGTTTAAGACTAAGACATACATGAGGATAAACATTACAGCACAGCTCTCTACATCAGCGGCTAACCTAAGGGACTGGTAGCAGAACTAACAAGAGAGCTACAAGTGCACGGGATTTGCTACAGACGTTTAAAACCCTTCAGCCCTTTACTTACAGCATGCTTTTCATAAGGACTCAGACTTAGCACTCAATTTCATTCTTCATCTTCTGTGATGACTGTTCAATTCAGTACTCTCATACTCTTGTCTGTCTGCAGTCAACTACTATCAGTGAATTTTGGGACAGATTTTCAGCTAACAGTCTCAATTAACGAGCAGTTAGCATCGCTCAATTAATGCCAACTACATTGTGTCAACATACACCAGATGAGTATATGGCTTTGTCAAACGGTGCAACCTCCCCTATAAAACAGAGAAAGATTCACTGACTGGAAAAGTAATTCAGTGATATCTTGTTTAAATAAAGCAGACAGCATATAGT